GAAAATATGGATTCGGAGCATATATTTACCAATGGTTTAAAAAGGTCCAGCATGTTGATACGTAAATAGTTGATGGTAACAGGTTAAAAAATGATGTCTGAAATCCCAGAATAATATTAGGAATAAACATGAAATGTACTTGATAGCTGTAGTTTGCTATGTAATAAAAAATAATAGAGGCAATTAGGCTGGAAATACCTAGCATCACTCACCTGCAACAGATCTAGCAAATTCGGAAGAAAAATGATTGCGGCAAAACGGCATCGATGAGAAAGAAAAACAATCGACGGGTAGGAGATCGTACATCTCCGGAGCATAGTCATGGACAGGGACTGGCCCCTCGAAGCAAGCGGAATCAGTCATGGTTACAAACTATAAGAAAAAACAAAAATATTTGACTAGCCTAAAAATTACGGGTTCCAATATATTAAGTCTGTAGCACAAGTTCCCACGTAGATAAATAGGAAATTAGTCAAGGGTGCTTGAATTATAAGTAATTATGCTTTGATCCATACAAATAACTAAATTCAAAAGTAGTAACAGCCCTTATGCAGAGGAAGCCGGTAAGATCAGTAATAAAAATATCGCATTCCCTGTTAATGGTACTGTCGCCATTCAACGAGACCCAGGCGGAGAAGTACATTCGCAGTAAAGATGTAAAACAAGCTGAAGACCGGTTAAATAAGAGCCATACGATAGATATGCACCTAAAAAAGGGACGAACTTATCTGGTAGTCAATAAAAATATTATAAACCACGAGATCAAATTTGAATTTTAAGAAGCTAGGGAAAAAGGTAATGGACTGACCTAATGTTCGCAACTTGGTCGTGTTGTCAAGGCGACTTAGTTGGATTCATCTTACCCGAGGTCCATTGCTATCGTAATCATAATTCCCAGCGCCTGACCGTGGACTTTGTGCATTATCATATGTTTCGCCGGCATCGTCAGAGAAAAGTGATCACAATCCCTTGAGAAACTTTTTGTCAATGCGGTTGTGCTATCACTCCTCTTTCTCTCCTGGTCCATCTATATAACCCTTACCCTCCTATCACACTCTCAGCCTAACACAGATTCTGATTTATTTATATTCCACTCCTCAAGAAGTACCTTGTTTGGCAAGCTTGCATAAGCAAACTCGGAGAAAAGAAGGATGTGGCAAGACCAGCAAAAAGATCCCCGGATAAAGGATCTATCGTTAACCAAAGGAAAAAGGATCGCAAGGAGGGAAAGTTTGGACAATTTAAACGTCCTCAATGAGTGTGGTAGGCTCGACGAAACTACAACTTTGGAGGCCTTTTAGTCACATAATCACGATCGTCACAGAAATTCGGCATTACGACCAAATTGACTGAAAATCAACTCGAGATGCAGCGAGCGATCAGGGATAAGTGTCCTCAATTTGCCCAGAATACACGAATTTAACCAGACGACAAATGGGGACTTCTTAATATCTGCGAGCATGGGAATAAGAGCATAAGCGCTCGGTATGGTGAGGAGACAGTGTACGTGCTTCTAAAGCATTTAGGAATACCGCCTGTGGTAAAAAGTACACTGGGATTGAAATCGGTCAAACAGAAAGATATATGGGCCAATGAATAAGATCCGAATATAAAGCTCAGATGTAATCAGTAATTTGAGAGGAGAGGAAGCAAGGCAAACAGCGGGTTGGATGATGCCACACTAAACTTGCTAAGGAGTGGAGTATAGGTCAGAATTTGTGATGAGGGTAAGGAGTATATAGATGAACCAGAATAGAAAGAGAAGTGACAATAAAACCGTCTTATCGGAAAGTTGGTCAAGGGATTAAGTTCATTTGTCTGACGAATTGTAGCATAGTACTGAGAATGAAAAGACTCACTGACGATGCCGGCAAAAAGTCTGGGAATGTAGCAGGTCCACGGTCCGATGCTTTAAATCATGATTACTATAGCAGAGGACTTCGGACAAGGTGCTTCCAGCTAAGTCCTCATGAAAACTAGGTCAACCCATCTCCATAAATCGAAAGAAGACTCTGGTTTTACTATAGACCACACCGTCTTGATTTTGATATCCTGGGGAAAAAAGTTGTTGATATTATTCTAGACTATAATAGTCGTGTTGCAAAGTCGCTTATTATTTAAATACTTATATCTCATAATAGCAACGAAACTCGAATTTACCAATAAAGAGCAGAATTTGAAAACGCACCGGAAATGCATAACAAGTAACCCAACAACCAATATTAAACGAGCGGAGTCTGGCTATATCTATTAATAAGTAGGACGCCCTACATTTCGCATTGGTGGTTATAGCTAGCAAAGATCAAGTTCTATAAGAAATTTGCAGGCTCGTTAAATCACTCTAATGATGTTAGATTAAGAATAGAGAAGAAATGCAATAAGTAGATAAACGTCTTTGGTTGTGTAACCTACTGGGAGCAGGGGATCACATGTCCGTAGAGCCCATGCTAGCTCACCCCTCAGTCGGTAGCGCACAAACCCATCAGAATCTTTCACTGTTTCGTTTATTTCAGGGAATATACTCTCATAGAGGTCATCTGCTTCGTTGCCTAGTTTGGTATACCCAGCTTTCTTAAAAAATGTTTCGACCAGACATTTTTCATCTGTTTGGATTGGTCTGGTGGAAAGAGTGGAATCTGGCAAAGCTGATGCAATTGTGGAACATGCAGTTTCGAGTAAGTTAGAAATAAATCGACGACGATTGCGAGACCGAGCTTCAATACCAGAGTTGTCTGCATTTAATGATGAAATATGGCGTCGGTTGTAAGTAGTTGTCTCCAACTTTAGCATGTCTTTTATTGAGCAAATTACTAAATTTAAGATTTCATCCTTGTTTTCAATGTCATTTGATTTTGGTAAACCATCAACCAACTTTGTGCGAGTGATAAATTGCGTAAACGACAGCGCTTCAGGTATATGCATAGGAAGGTCAAGTTTTTGAAACCATAAATTTTGCTCCAGATGATAAAGCTCCTGAAGTTTCCAAAAGGTGGACGGAATGGCCTGTAAAATTTCGCCTTTCCTGAAGCTAATTTACAGTAACCAAATTATACACATGATTAAATTATTTATATGATTAAGCCAGACAACAGACTTACCTGTCTTTTTTTATCTGTTCAGGTGTCGATCCCCATTTACCAGGTGCCAATGGAGGCTCAAGAGAAAGATATTGTTCTTTACTAAAGTATGAGTCTTCTATTTTTGGCGGCGAGTGGTATGGTGGCAAAAACTTCCTTCTATATTTTAATCTATCCCAAGGAGGTTGCTTGCTCAAAGCAGAAGTCGAATGAATAATACGAAAAGATACAAATGAGGTGGAGGGGCGGAGCTTAAGCATGATAAGGACAAATATTGCGCAAACCAGAACAAGCCATCCAAACAAATCTAATATGCTATCATAGAAGCTACGTAATAACCCTATAAGACGCAGTAAATAAAAAATTTATCATTTAAGTTTTAAATTAAATAAAAAATAAATAAATAAAATAAGCTTTTTTTAATAATGGAAGTTTAAATGAGTGTAAAAGCTTTAAACTGACTTAAAGTTAGAGCTCTCATACCTATCTTGACTTAAATATAGCATATACAAGTTACCCTATCACATACTCAAGCATAAGCAAAAAATGCTGCCTTATCTATGCAAGGCATAGTTGTGAAGGCATCCGGTTCTTTTGCATGTTTAAACTACTCATTAATCTTATGTGAAAGAATGAAATACGAAAATGCCTAGCCCTCCTGGAAATTCACATCTCCACTGCGATCCAAAAGCGCTCGTGGAAATGTGGCGTAGTGGTAAAAGTGTAAAGATTATGCGCTGCACTGTCATGGTTCGAGTCTTATTGGGATGCTAATATGACCTAGGCGGGACAGAAACTGCAAAGCACCCTGCATTAAAATAACTTTTTAAAAAGCATGGTTAAGTTAAACTCAAAAATAGGTTCCAATAGAAGACGACGGCGGATTCCTCTTTACCAGCTGTCGATTGGCTTTACTGGAAGATTCATGCTAAGGCTGTTTCCGAGACAAACTCACTCGATTCCGGTAAAAACGAGCTAAGCTGTCGTCCATCATATTACGGACACCGTCAGAGCAAGTTAACATCGAGACAACAAAATTCAAGCTAACAAGTCAAGTAAACTCACAGGCAAATCCCTAAAAAGTGGTATATATACTCTACATCTGGCCTCTTCGATCGAGTATAAAGTGATTTGGTTAGTTAAGGTCATATGTCAACTTCTATGCATCTGAGTGGGTCTGTCTCTGTATTAGTATGTGCATGTTTGTGTTCGCTTATGCACAAAACTTAATTATTTCTTTAATCATTGCTACAAAAAAAGGTTGGAGTTTTAAAATATATGATTATTCGTAGCATAAGACTAGCCGATATAGACCATTGTGACAATGAACTGAATCGGCTTAAAATAATTTTCCTTGGGAATAACTATCCCTTTGGCTTGATTGAAAATAACATTAGATTAATAAAGAATTGCTTTTTGAAGGGTGAATACGTAAGAAGAGATAAGGAGATCTTTTCTCATGTTTTGTCTTTACCCTCGTGCGTTCTCTCTAAAAGGATAGGTGAGCAAGTAAGGAAGTGGGAATAAAAACTGTGTTCAGAGAAACCATGACACTTTCTTCAGTCACGCCCATTTTTAGAGAGAAAGTTGACCCATTATCCAGATCGAGTTGCTAAAAAATCATGTGTTCATGTGGTCGCTTTTATGTTGGAAAGACTTGTCGTCCCATTCGACAAAGAGTGGCTGAACACA